CTTTGCCAGGTTTTTTGGGGGGGGGGGGGGGGGGGGGGGGGGGGGGGGGGGAAGGAGGGGGGGGGAGCTTCGATCTTGGAAAGAACTGGGCTTGGATGAGTTCCAGCAGCTGCAGGCATCCGTCTGGAATGATCTGGCGTGGAAGCAGTCTCCCCGATCGATCCATCTGGGAATCCATCTTCAACATTGCCTGCTTTTCTTGGCATGGGAAGGAGTAGCAGGAACGTCGCATCTCCAAACTAGCGCTGCTGACGATTCCTGAGCGGTCACGAAAATCAGCATCGAAGCTCAGACGTACCACTTCACAGAGGCAGGGAGTTGTTCTAAACGAGGGGGCCCAATTTGCTATGATATCGTAGACCAAGACAATATGTAAAAACAGTCACCAGAAACAGGAGACTAAGAGAGAACACCCCCCGCATGAGCCTCAATGGCTGTTCGCAAGAGGCACCGTGGTCGTCCTTCTGCTTTTGATGCTTCTCCAAGGTTTCACCTTATCTCTGTACTACACGTGTCCGCAGAAACGTCAGCAGCAGCACAAGGCATAGGAATGTGCAGAAACAAGTGTGACGTCCAGCTTTGGCTTGCGTCAGCTTGAGACCTGGAACCCACCCTCCGGCACGGATCCTAATGGACCCGATTGTGGGATGCAGCGAGGGGGTCTTTCCTGGAGAAAGACAAGAACTCCTTCCGAGAAACCCACCAGGATTGAAAACTACTGCAGAAAGGCTGCAGTAATCTGCAGTACATCCCCCCACTCTGCAGCCCTTTCGCAAGAGACCGGGGTTGAGGTGGTCGGCGGGCCCTAGGTACAAGCTGGCTCGGGTGGCAGAGCTTGGAAGGGCCTTCAATCGCGAGTAAACCGCGTGGCACATGGAAAACAGGGGTCTTGGCCGGGCATCGAAGGCTGAAAGGGTTTTTAGGACTGCCGGTGGCTTCGAGGGTGAAGATGAATCCACTTGGGACAAGGCCTGGCCCATGTGCCGTGTGCCCAGTAAGGATCATGGAAGAGAGAGGCGAACATTGCATCAGCCAGCACGCGACGTTCACCCGCATGGATTCATGGACAAGCCTGAAAGAACATGCGGTCGGACAAGCGCGGCATGATGCGCTACGCAGTTCGCCTTCTAGCTGGGCAAGCTGCAACCTCCATGTCATTTGCCCACTCTTTACGCCTGGGTAGGTTCGTGGAACTAAGCAAGTTGCCGACATCTTCACTGCTCTTAGCGGGGACAGTTTTCAGGACAAGAACCCAATTCGGCCTTTAAGCTGCCTTGGCATGCAAGTTCCGCGAACCGAGTTCTTGAAACAAGAAACAAGAAACACGCCTCGAGGCATCTGGAAGCGAAATCAATGTGGCAGCGATGCCGTGGCGGATGCCACTCGTGGTCGAACGAAGACAGCTTTGATTCGGCGCCGAGCTCCAACATCGGATACGTTCTACCGGTCTTCCAGGACTTGCCCCTGTCAACACAAACGGAACCCAACCCAGCGTCGCTCTCTGCAACACCCTCTCGAGTAGGGAGTTTGGGAATGAACCTGCGTCATGTCTAGCTGCCTCCCGAATTCACCAGACCAGTCGAGAGCTTGAGTCTACATCCAGGGGCTTGGGGTTTTGGGAATCTAGGGTATTTTGGTACCCTAAACCCGAGAAGTCTAAGCCGCAAAGCCGCTCCCTCTACCGTCCACGCCCAACGTGCTTGGCACCCGACTTAGGGCGGCGGACCGTCCCTGGGCTCCCCCTACGACAGAAGCGAGCCAAACCCTAAGCCCTGAAACAGATGCAGGGTTTAGGGTTTCGGGTTTCGGGCTTAGGGTTTCAGGGTTTGGGGCTTCGAGAAATCGTAGGAGTTGGCAGTGGAGGGTCAGGGTTCGAAGCCCGAAACCCTAACCCCACCAAGCTCCGGCTCATGATCACATGCAACCCTAAGCCCTAGCCCAACCCAAGCGTAACAACCCTAAACCCCAAACAACGAACCCTAAACAGCCCAAACCCCTCCCCCCCCAAAAAAAAACACATGAATAAATAAAAACTAACAAGAATGATAAGAAGAAGATGATGATGATGAAGAATCACAAGCCTTCAAAAGCCCCTAGAACATAAACCCGCACAAGCCAGAAAGCCTGGCCTCGGACTCTTGCCCAGGGGGGGAGCACAGACGAAGTCGCGTTGCGGCCAATGCAGCACCGACCCGATCAGAGGCGGAGACGCTTCTTTCAAGGGGACATTGTTGGGGAACCCTAAATTGGCAGCCCCAAAGACACAATGTGATCATCCATATGAATATATGCTTATGTTATATATATATATATGTGTATACGTATATATATATACACAGATTGATATGTGTGATTGATCCTCACGACACCCTTGCTTTGTCCTTTCATGGTCCCGAAAACGTAAGGAATCTCGCTGAGGTTGCCTTGCCCCTTTGGTGGGCTTCTCTTTCTTACAGGCTTCCGTTTTAAGGTGTTTGGCTCGGGGGGGGGCCTCAGTGGGCTCAAGGAACCTTCATGTTTTGAGCCGAAACTGCCCCAAAGACTCCCTCAACACCCTCTAGACCCTGAACTCCCGAGCTCAACCAAGATCGCGGCCGTCTGATCGTAAGCCCGGTGCTTCAGGGGTTTCTGCCTGCTTGGATCAGGCATGGGCCCCCGAAGGCTCGAAACGCTCAGGGGTTCTAGGGTTGGTACGGATCGACGGTTCAAAAATCTCGTACCTGGAGACACACGGACGGGGGCTGGCGTTGGCAAGCCCAATCCGGGTATGTACAGCAAATCTGTGGCTAAGATGGGGTCCGCGCAACATGTCCGGCAGATGCTAAGAAGGCTTGCAGGACAAAGCACCTCTGCACATAGCTCGCACATCCAAGGGTTCTGCAATTTCTTGGGAGATTTCCAAAAAACAAGCATTTGAGCAAGCGATGGATGGCGGGCAGCTGTGCTGCGACGACCTGCGAATTAGGAACCATGCACGACTTTACATGGGTCCAGAAACCTCAAGAAGGCCAAGGTCTTAACACAAACTAGGAGCATATCTAGGTGATGGAGGATGACTGTCACGTGCGCCATCTTGACGGGTTCCAAAACCCAGCTGTCTGTTGCCGAGGGCTTACCACAACCTTTACGGTTTTTGAAATGGAGCAAGCGACATCGACCTGCAAGCAGGATGGCTTTGCACACGAGGGTCGTGACCAAGCTCTCATAGAGGGGGGTGGTTGTCGGGCAAGTTGTTGATCACCCATCCGCACAGCACTAGCTCCCCGAGGTTAAGCCCACTTGTGGCAGACCCGATGGAACTGCAAGACGTTAGGGTCTAGGGTCTAGGGTTTAGGGCTGGTATAGACAGACATGCACCCCCCCACCCCTTCCCCCAAACCCCGGTGCTCCAGCACGCCATAATACGACCACAACCGCAACCGCAAGACTTGTTGCTCAGGCTGAAGCTCAGCAAGCCCCAAACCCCAGTCATGCCGCCAACGCCACAGACAGCGAAGGCGGTGATGTCTTAGCTTTCTGCAATCAATTTGAAAAACTTAGCTTCAACGTTAAGGATCTCCTGCGATCTTCTCGCATGGGACGCCCGATGACATCTTTCATAAACCCCTAAACCCCTAAACCGCATCCACGTGGCATCAACATCCACAACGTAGGCCAGCATGAGCTCACACATGATGCTCAAGCTGGGTTTTACAAGGCTTGTTCAGAAGTGTACTGAGGCTCAAGGTTTCGGGTTCAGAGTTCCGGGATTTCGGTTTCGTGTCCTTTCTATACAGAAAAATCGGAATGAGCCTCCTCTAACCCCTAACCCTAAACCCTAAACCCTAAACCCTAAACCCTAAACCCTAAACCCTCTGCGGATTTCGGCCTCCTGCGCTGTCAGGCCTTCTGCGCTCTCAAAGCGGCAGGTGGTCCTCCGCAGGGCCAAGGGCTTAGGGCTTAGGGCTTAGGGCTTAGGGTTTAGGGCTTAGGGTTTAGGGTTTAGGGTTTAGGGTTTAGGGCTTCGGGTTTAGGATTTAGGGTTTAGGGTTTAGGGTTTAGGGTTTAGGGACTCGTACCCCTACTTGGAGGTTCATGGTACTTATTGACCAAGTATCATTGTACTTAACCCACTTACAAGCCCCTTAAATGCCCTAATATGGTTATAAGTACCGTTATCAGTACACTTACAATTGAAGAATAAGTAGCATGAACCTCCAAATAGGGTTTGGTTCAAGGGGATGAAGACTCGTACCCCTCAGGTTGTACCCCTAAAGGCTCCCCTCAATCTACTCCTCACATGGCCCCCTTGTACTCTACCTCAAGGCTCCCCAAACCCAAGGGTGCAACCCGTAGCGGTCCGAGGTTGAATCCCAATGATTCTTCAGCTTGTTGTGGGGGATTTGGGCTCTTTTTTGTGGCTTTGGAGGGGGGGAGGGGGTGTTCTCGGTTGTTGGATGTTGGTTCGGTGGGGTGGGGCTTGTTGAGGGCTTAGGGCTTACGGCTCAGGGCTTCCGATTGCTAGGGCTTAGCACGCCGGTTGGGGATTTGGGAAGCAGCACGGAAAACCCTTTACAGGCGCATCTTTGGTTAGTTGAGGGTTTTAGGGTTTTGGGTTTTCGGGCTTCGGGGAATACACATAGCGCACCACCACAGACACGCCTATAGCAGGTAAAACTGCGGGCCTTTCTAAGGGCCTAGACTTGAAACCTTAGGTTTCTGAAACCCTGCCATGTTCAAGGGAGAACCAGCCCGGAGCATACTACCTAGGGTTGAGGTTTTGGGCTTTAGGGGCGGTTTAGGGTTCAGGGTTCAGGGTTCAGGGTTCAGGGTTCAGGGTTCAGGGTTGAGGGTTGAGGGTTGAGGGTTGAGGGTTGAGGGTTGAGGGTTGAGGGTTGAGGAATGAGGGTTGAGGGTTGAGGGTTGAGGGTTGAGGGTTGAGGGTTGAGGGTTTAAGGTTTAGGGTTTAGGGTTTACTCAGGGTTTCGGGGCACAGGGTTGACGTGGAACCGGCCTGTACCTCAGGCCTTGCGGCTGCGGTTTTGACGGTACCTCAGCTCAGAAAAAGGCGGCTGGGCAGGACCGGGGAGCAGAATCATACAATGGCCCACACAAGCCCGAGGCTAACGGATACCCAAGTAAGGGCCCGAAAAACCCTAGACTCTGGACGCGGAACCTACTAAACCCTGTAGGCCCTGACCACTAACAAACCCGGAACCCAAAACCTTGAACCCAACAAACCGAACTATCAACCCTAACAAAGCCATAAACCCTCAACCCGCCTTCTATAAACCCAAACCACTCCGAACAGCCGTTGACCCGGCTCAACCCCGGGTAGTCCCATAACCCCACGAAGCCCACAATGACCCTAGGCCCTATAAGCCCCAAAAAGCCCCATAAGCCCTAACCCCGATGAGAACCCCACTATCAACCCAGCTTCCAACTGCAAACCCTCAAGGCCTTATCACCTGGAGCCCTAAGCTCCTCTTAGAGCTACAGAACCCAAACCCAAAACGCCGGCACCCCCTAAACCCTAAAACCCTCTGAGCCCAACAAGACCATCCTCGAAACCACTTTCTAAAGAAAGAGAGAGGCGAGAGAGATACACACACACACACATAAATATTTTTTTAAAAAAAAAAGTATACATATATATATATATGTATATATGTAGATAAACTCCCAGCCCTTGTTTCCCCTGCAACCGCACCCGAAAGGCCCTCTGCACCCCCAAACCCTAAACCCTAAACCCCAAACCCTAAACCCCAAACCCCAAACCCTAAACCCGAAACCTCAAACCCCAAACCCTAAACCCCAAACCCCGAGCCCCAAACCCTAAACCCCAAACCCAAACCCTAAACCCGAAACCTCAAACCCCAAACCCTAAACCCCAAACCCTAAACCCCAAACCCTAGACCCCAAACCCTGAACCCCAAACCCCAAACCCTAAACCCTGAACCCCAAGCCCCAAACCCTAAACCCGAAACCTCAAACCCCAAACCCTAAACCCCAAACCCAAACCCCAAACCCTAAACCCTAAACCCCAAACCCTAAACCCTAAACTCACGGGGCCGCGCGGCTGCGCTCGCGAGAGCCGCGGCTGCAGGCCCAACGGGTCTGCGGTGAAGAGCTCCGGGGTCTCCACGCCCAGGATCTCCTTAAACGGGCTCTTAGGGGCGTGAGGGTTTAGGGTTTAGGGTTTGGGGTTTTGGGGTTTAGGGTTTAGGGTTTAGGGTTTAGGGTTTGGGTTTGGGGTTTGGGGTTTGGGGTTTAGGGTTTAGGGTTTAGGGTTTAGGGTTTAGGGTTTAGGGTTTAGGGTTTAGGGTTTAGGGTTTAGGGTTTAGGGTTTAGGGTTTAGGGTTTAGGGTTAGGGTTAGGGTTTAGGGTTTAGGGTTTAGGGTTTAGGGTTTAGGGTTTAGGGTTTAGGGTTTAGGGTTTAGGGTTTAGGGTTTAGGGTTTAGGGCTGGTTCTTAGGGGACTGAGGGAATGAGGTACCACATGGTATACGGTACCCGAATTTCTCCTCAGTCCCTACTATGAATTAGTAGGTTTTCGGGCCATATAAGGGGATTAGGGTTACGGATATGGGTGGTTTCCAAAAGCAGGGGTACCTTCTTTTGGTTGGGGCATATTCAGGGTATTGCTAGGGCTTAGGGCTACGGCTTAGGAGGGTTGAACAAAAAATGGGCACTGAACTTAGGGAGTCTCGACTGTAAGTACACATCTCTTACCCATCTTAGTACCAACTCCCGGACAGTAGGCTTGACGATTTAGGGTTTAGGGTTTAGGGTTTAGGGTTCAGGGTTTAGGGTTTAGGGTTCAGGGTTCAGGGTTTAGGGTTTAGGGTTTAGGGTTGAAGTGTAGAAGGGCTCTGCAAAAATGGCGCACGGCATCGTCGCCCGCTTCCTACTCAGCACCTTCATGCACGAACCGAGGAGCACGGGAAGGTCGACGGAAAATCCTCTCAGACTCCTCCACCTGTGCAGAGAGGTCACATTCTGCAATACCACAATTCGGAGGCCCTAGACTACAGATTTCAAACCCAACCCCTCTGAACCCGAAACCCTAAACCCTAAACCCTAAACCCTAAACCCTAAACCCTAAACCCTAAGCCCTAACCTGCCAGCGCCCCCCTCTGATCTCCAGATGCGGTTCCCCGCGAATGTGCCCCCAAACAGTTGCCGGACCTCAGGGGCCCTGAGGAGACCCCAAAAACGGCCCACGATCTAGACCCCAAACTTGGGATACTAACAGTCGTTTAGTAGGGACTATAGCACCCCCTATTAGAATGACTATTTAGGACTGTTAATGAAAGGGGGAACATCCCAACCTTAAACCCTACAAGCTCTCAACCCCAAAAACCCTCAACTCCCAACCCAAAACCCTCAAGTCTGAACCACCAACCCAAAACCCCAAAACCCTAAACTCCGAAGACCAAACCCCAAACCTGTAGCTCTGAAACTATGGCTGCCCCTTTAGGACTCCTGGCGTTTGGGGATAGCAGCTCTTGGTTTAGGAGTTTAGGAGTTTAGGAGTTTAGGAGTTGCGGAGTTGAGGTTAGGGTTTAGGGTTTAGGGTTTAGGGTTTAGGGTTTAGGGTTTAGGGTTTAGGGTTTAAGGTTTAGGGTTTAGGGTTTAGGGTCCAAAACCCTCAAAACCTTCTTCCCTTAAACCCTGACCGAAAGAAGGCTTTCAGGCTTTCAGCATACTGCATACTGTCGTAGTTCGGCAGCACAGCTTCCGTGTGAATACTCATGAGACGTTGGAACCCCTAAAGGCTCGAACTCCCTGATGCCCTACTTCCTGCTAGGGGCCGCAAAGACTTTCTCGACTTGGGCATGCAAACCCTAAACCTGCTTCCTTGTTGGGGCTATGTTTCCTAAACCCTAAACCCTAAACTCTGAACCTTATTTGGAATCTAAAGCGCGAATCTTACGAAAGCAGGGGGGCCCCCCAACAGGACCCCAATAAGGTACCCCAACAAGGTACCCCAGATATCGTAAACCCTAAACCCAAAACCCTAAACCCTAAACCCTGAACCCTGAACCCTGAACCCTGAACCCTAAACCCTAAACCCATATCCTTCGCCATCCGGGTCCCGGCATCCGGCCTCAAGCCGCGTCGCCTCGTCCACTTCGAAAGCCGAGCGTGCCCGGGGTACGAAGATATCCTGAGAGAGCGGGGTTTAGGGTTGAGGGTTTAGGGCTGAGGGTTGAGGGTTGAGAGTTGAGGGTTGAGGGTTTAGGGTCTAGGGTTTACCATAAATATATTAATATTGTGTCCGTGGCTCGTTAAGATTTAACACACACACACACACACTCACACTCACACTCACACACACACACCGCATTACAGCATTAATGTACTTTGAGAGCGACGTGAATGGTATTTCCATTTCATCGTTATTGTGCGCTGGAATATTAGATTGGCGCGTGTACAATAGTATTCTATTAGTACGAAAACCGCGCCTGTAATACATATAGTGATCATAAAAGTAATAAACATAACAGCTATCAGAACAATCAAGAAGAAAAACCAAGAAGAAGAAGAAGAAGAGCAGGAGCGCGGGAAATATTATACTATCATTTACGCGCCCAGGGTTATATTATCATTGGCGCGTGTTACAAGTGTGATATCTCCAAAATATATGCGGTGCGTGATTTTGCAATTAAATTCTTGATAGAAATTACTGCTATGATAAGGACCAGTATGATTCTTCGTCTGAGTTGAATACGGGTATTGGTGTCTTCTTTGGGGCGTTCCTTCCATTCACTGCAAATTCCCTGGTTGCTGTGCCGGGTGGGCACGGCCTTCTAGTTGTTCTGCTTCAGCCGTCTTAAGAGGCTTAGGCTATATGGGTTGGTGGTTTCTTTAAACCGGGTTTCTGTGTTATAGAGGCATATATTCGGGGTTCTTACTTAGGGTATCTAGGGGCTAGATTAAGGAGATAAAGAGGCGACCGGCCTTTATACGGCTTAGGGGTTAGGGTCTGTTAGGGTCTTGTTTTCCATAAAGGACGCTGTGGGTTTAGGCTTTGCAAGGGGGAGTGACTTGCTGGCACCAACCCGACCTCTTGCCTCCCACTCCTTCGTGGCTCCCCCTAACCCATGATATCTTAACATGTTAAAGTCCCTAAGCCCTAAACCCTAAACCCCAAACCCTATGCTTAGGCGCTTTTGCACTTCCCCTTTCAAGCTACACGGGGCATCCCTGTGGCACATCCAAGGTTCGAATGCAAAGCAAACGATTGCGTGGACCACGTTGCGCGAGAAGCGGTCGTCCAGCCCTCAGGCGAGCTTGAGGTCATGTAGCTGCAGGGCTGCTGGAAATCATCGGCTAATCCCTTGCCCTACTACGAAACGGGTGGGCCCCCCCCCCCCATAGAAACTCGAAAGGTGTTTTTAATATTAGGGGGATGCCTTTAGCCATATGCCATCTTTTGGGATAGGGTTTAGAGTGGCTTGAAGGTTTTTGAGGCGTTGAACACCCCCCCAAAGAGGAATAGGGTTTAAACGACGGGGTCGGTTTGGGCAGGATTTTCCGGAAAGCGTTTTTATGATCAGGGGGGTGTTTAATACAAAGGGGAAGCGGTTATTTGTGGGGCGCAGAAAAATTAGACCCCCCCCATGACAAAGGGCACCCAAAGACGGACCCTGTACGGCCTCATCCCCCACCCTTCTAGGCTGCAAGGCATCGTAGTGGGATGGCCCTTCCTGATGCAACAAGGGCCACAAAAGCCCCGTCTCGGCCGTCGAGGGGCCCACCACGTCGCGCAAGATGCGGAATCGAAGGCACGGGCTGCGCAAGGCGTGCACCTCAGGCATCCAGGAGCCAGAGTCCGACGCCCCACAATCTATGAAATGGTTTCGGGTTTCGGGTTTCGGGTTTCGGGTTTCGGGTTTAGGGTTTAGGGTTTAGGGTTTAGGGTTTAGGGTTTAGGGTTTAGGGTTTAGGGTATGTTCGAACTGAAGTGTACTACACGATACTGCAAAAAGTGAGGGAGGACAGATCGGCAGCGACTGCCGAACATTTGAGTACAGAAAGCACAAGCCAACGCTCCGGGCAAAGCAAAACACCAGCCTGAAACATCGTCCACCGACCCCGTCTAGAAAGGCATCCCGTACGGGTTGGAACAGCTATGGTGAAGAAGTCGGGGTTCAACTGCAACCCACCAAGTCTCCGTCGAACACACGCAAGCAACAGCGTTGTGAAGTACACCCTTCTGCTGTGCCAGGAACCACCTCGCACAGCTCACGCACGTACGCGTCGCCGTCCTCTGCATCCCTGCATCACGAAGCTAAGCAGCTCATGCAGCGGAGGTGATTCAAGTGCTTATGTCTTGAAAGACTGCCATCGACCTTGCATGCACCAAACGGCCTCCACGACCGATCGCAATCCCCGCGAAGTTTGGTTTTCGGTTTCTTGTTTGGGCTGGGAAGTGGGAGGGGGTGGACCTTTTCATGGGCAGCTGTGTAGGGTTAATGTAGCCTAAGCAGAAATCTTTGGTTGCTCCAGAAGATTCGCTCTGCTGATGCTGCTGCATGGGGTCGGGGGGGGGGGGGGGCATCATCGACCCATCGTTTCTTCGCGGCTTCTGGCGGGGCCTTTGGGGCTGCGGCCTAGTGATCCCCCCAGGGGGGGGGGGGGTGGGGGGGGTAGGGAGGGGGGGGGGGTGGGGGGGTAGGGAGGGGGGGGGTGGGGGGGGCGGGGGAATCTCGTAAAATCGAGTGTTTTGACCCTACTCAAGCGCTGCTAGCCACCGCAAGACAGAAGGCCGAGAAGTGTGCTTGGAAAAGGAGCTCCTTGCGACGAAGTACAGAAAACGTCGAAACGACCCGAGCACAAGAATCGCGAACACGTTCAAAAACAACAACAAAGATGCCGAAAAGTCCGAAATTCCGAAACATCAAGATCAATGATAACTCAAAACCTGAAAAGCCGAAACGTCGACATCGAAAAGTATTGAAAAGTCTTGATCTCACGATGCCCCCCAAAGCCAAAAACAGCCCTGCTCCGTAGAAGCGAATACCCCCCGCCTCGCTGGAGTGATACACAAAAGTCTCCCCCATGATCTCAAAATGACCCCAAAAGCCAAGAACAGCCCACTCCGCCAGCAGTGAGGGAGTGAGGGAGCGAGGCTCAACTTGCGGGAAGTCGGCTGAGCAGCGAAGGTAAAGGTCTGTGACCTGCACAGCCTGAATTGCTTGGCTCAGCATGCCCAGAAGCCGTCCTTGCTCAACTCTTCCTGAAATGGCATGCTAAGCGGAGCGAAGAAAAAGGCTAAAGGCCGACTCGCTGTGGTCCCAGAACCCGGAAAATCGTCCCCAAAAAGTGTCCCAAAAGTGTCCCAAAAGTCCCCAAAAGTTGAGAAGCCGAAAGGTGCCCGAAAAGGCCTGAAAAGTGGCAAGGCCGAACACCGCTCGACGTCTCGACTTCTTGCGTTGTTGCTTCCTTTTTGGGGTTCTCCGGCTTGCAGACTTGTCGAGCTCAGGTCTCTAGACTAGAACCCCCTATAACCCAAAAACCTTGAAGCTAAAACCCTGAACCCGACCTAGCGATGGGGAGGGTTCCACGAACAACGTTGAAAGGTTCCACGGTAAACCCTGAACCCAAGCAAGCGCTCTTGCAATTCCCCAACCGTTAAACCCTAAGCCCTCAACCCTCAACCCTGAACCCTAAACCCTAAACCCTAAACCCTAAACCCTAGACCCTAAACCCTAAACCCTAAACCCTAAACTCCCCACCTGAGCTTCTTCAAATGTCTCAAGAAGTCGCTGCGGTTTGACACCGCCTTGCCGCTGATGAACGACGACATACCTGGCAATGGCGGGGCATCTTTGGGCGCCAGGATGAGAGGGTTGAGGATTTAGGATATAGGGCTTAGCGTTTAGGGTTTAGGGTTTAGGGTTTAGGACTTCGGGTTTAGGGTTTAGGGTTTAGGGTTTAGAGTTAAAAGGGAGTTGAAGCTGAGGGCTCTTCGGGCCGAGGGAGGGGTAGCTCTCTGATTTGCGGAATTGTGGAGATTGGGATTTTCCTACACACGAAAAAAGCACGTGGTTTGACGTCTTGAAGGGGCTTTGAGCTTGGGAGCTTGGCGGCAGGTGCTAGGGTCAAGTACTATGGCCTGCACACGTGGGTCTACAAAGTCGACGATAGTCTTTAAGGTTTAGGGTTTAGGGTTTAGGGTTTAGGGTTTAGGGTTTAGGGTTTAGGGTTTAGGCCTAAAGAAGCGCAGAACCAATGGCCCGCAAAAAAGCGTGCCCAGGCCGCGCGAGCCGCGCTCCGTCCTCCAGGTCTCCATCTGAGACACAGCGCTGTTGGGTTCAAGGTCTTGCAGTGGAGTTTGGTCCCTAAACCCTAAACCCTGAACCCTAAACCCTAAACCCTAAACCCACTTGATACGCTTGGATCACTTCTCGGCTTTTGGAATCCTTGGGGGCATCGTGGGATTGGGAAACGACGGCCGGTTTTGGGGTGGCCCCCTGCCAGTGTCGCATTCTCCCTCCCTAAACCTTGGGATAGCGCCGAGGCACCCAGCTGAAGACGTCGCAAACGGTGCACTGGGTGGTCACACGCTTCAACCATTCACCTTCAAACGGCTTCCGGCGCTTGAGGCCCTTTAGGCTCGCTTCCAGGGCTTAAAGGGCTTGTGAGGCTTGTGGGGCTTATGGACGGGGTTCCGAAACGGGCTTAAGATGGCTCAGAGTTTGATGAAGATTTCAGGAACCACCAACCTACACGAGACTGAGAGTTACGCGACGGAGCGATCTCGGGTCCAGGAGGGTCTTTCTAGTTTAGGGTACCCTATAACGGTCAAATCCATGGACTTTGCGAAGCCTGAACTATAAACCCTTGAAGACTCTAAGCCACATAAACTCACAACTTCGATTTGAGCTTACGTCTGAGAAGGGCTTTCGGGCTGAGAGCATGCCCCAGAAATGCAAGCAAGTCGCCAATGTCCCGGATCGCGACGTCGATTCCTGAGCTTGCATGTGGAGGCGCTGCACAGCAAGGATTCGAGGCTTTCAGGTGTCAGGTTCGTAAGGCTCAGGCCCTGAAACTCTTAGTTAAGGTTCAGGAGCTCTTAAGGCTCAAGGCTTAACGTTTAGGTCTGGAGGTTCTTAGACGTATACAAAATTGAGTCGCGGCTGCACGCAGCAACACGAAACGCTAGACTACCCCAAGCACCACAAGGCACCGGACATCAACAACCACTCGGTGGGCAACGCGCTCGTCTTGCGCGGCGATTTTCAGACCACATGGGCCAGCTATGTAAACTCCGGGCCCTTTTTGGGCCATAACTGCTTACAAACACCGGGTCTGACAATGGTTGAGCTTAGTTCTGTGCACTCTCCGTTCTCCTCCACTTTGGCCATAAAACAAACAGAGGTTCATGACGAGTTGCGATGTTGCGTGCGTCCGGAACGAAACTCCGCCAGCATCACCTCTGCACACTTGCATACACCAGCTTGGGCAGTCGGGGTTCAGTCAAGAGCACGCCCGCATCTCGCCCAGCACTGAGAAGGACGCGCTAAGCTCCTTCCCTGTCCCGAGATCTTGTCCGAAACCCCGAACTCACGCAACAACACCTCCCAGACCCCAAACCAGCAAGGCAACCCGAAAGCCCCGCGAAACCTCCCCAACATCCTGAAAGCCTCAATCTCCAAAAACAGCAGCAAAAAGGAAAGCGAAAATCCCTGGAGTCAAGCGCACCTTGGCTCCCAGGACCACAAGCAAGTCCTCGCTGCCCTCGGGCAAAAACTTGCAGAGAGACAGCACCTTCAGGAGAGGCTGGGGAAGTCTGGGGAAGTGGGGGGGGGGTTCAGGGACTTTGAGGTCCGGGGGAGGAGGGGCATTAGGGTTTAGGGTCTCAGTTTGTTGATGCTGGTATGGTCTGGCCGAGAAGAACCCTACACCTGTGAGTGAAGACGTGTCCTCAAGGTGCAGATCTTGACTTTTTGAGGCAAGCGCTGCTTGTACTCTCGGCCTCAGCCCCTGAGCCAGGGGCCTCCGCGATAAAGCTGTGCTCGTGCTCGGCCACCTCCTGATTCAAGCTGAAGTTCACCTCGGGCGGTTTAGGGTTTAGGGTTTAGGGCTTAGTGTTTGGGGTTTAGGGCCTAGGATGCATCAGCTTTTGAGGGTTTCAGGGTTTGGGGCGTGAGAGGGCGCGCCTTCTTCGGGTTCTTGTGCTTCAGGGGCTAGGGGCCTGGGGTCTCAGGTTTTGCGTTCGGTGCTTGGGTGGATTTGAAGTATGGGCGCTGTGGATCTGTAGATCCCTGGGAGCTTTCTGCATCGCTATCACTTCTTCGTTTTATTGCAGACGTCATATGTCAACTTCCGGCCAAGCTGCCATCATGGGCGACGTCGTTCGAACAATCTCACCTTGGCAAGGCATGGATGAGCTGTGGGGATGCGAGGTTCTTGTCCAATCATTATAGGGTCCTTAGGTGGGTTCATGGTTCATGGGGGGTAGGTACCTGAAGAAGATTAGGGAAGCTTGGGGAGCCTTAGGGAGTAATAGGGAAAGCTTGGGTTACATACACCCCCCCCCTCCCTAAAGAACCCTACAAAATCAGGATTTTGCAATCCTCAAACTGCCTAGACCCCATTAAGGCCAGGAGCGTGCTGAAGGCACATTCCTCCGCGCCACACACTCCTCCGGGGCTCAAGCATCACGTCTTCAGCGGGCTCACAACAGGCGGGCATGAAAGAGGCTTCCATTCACCTAGGGTTTTTAGGGTTGCGGGGTTTTAGGGAGGGTCAAGGGTTTCGGGTTTGTACGGGGGGTTGAGGTCCAGGCCCTTAAGTAGCCCCTTAAACCCCCTCATTAAACCCTAAAACCCCCTAAGCACCCTAAACTCCCTAAAACACTCTAAACACCCACTAAGCCCCTTACCCCCTCCCAAAAACACCCTAAAAACCCACTAAGCCCTTACCCCCCCCCCCCCCCCCCCAAAAACAAAAAAGTAACGCGCGAGGGTCCCGCAGGCCCATGGAGAGCAGCTCGTGAAAGCGCGCCTGGCTGGGAACTCGCGGTTGGGTTTGGGGTTTGGGGTTTGGGGTTTGGGGTTTGGGGTTTAGGGTTTAGGGTTTAGGGTTTCAGGTTTAGGGTTTAGGGTGTAGGGTTTAGGGTTTAGGGGGCTTCGGGGCTTAGGGGCTTAGCGGGCTTAGGGCTTAGGGGGCTTAGGGTGGCTTACGGGGTGTCGTGTTGGGGGCCTTGGGGATGTCTGTCTTAGGGTTTTAGAAGGCTTGGGGTTTAAGGGCTTGGGGATTCTTAAGGGCTTCAGGATTTGGGGATTGAGGGGCTTCATGCCGTGCCGCGCAGTCCTGAAAACCATCTACCCAATGTCGAAGTAGGCAAGTCCTAGACATCCAAAGACGCGACGTTCTGTTTTGGGGACAGCTTGAGACATCCTCACCTTTCTCGCCCTGATATTTAGAAAGCCACTAAACGTATACATCGGGGTGTACCCCAAAACCCCAACCCCTAAGCCCTAAACCCTAAGCCCCAAGCCCTGACGCCCCGACACCCTAAACCCTAATCCCTAAAACCTAAGCCCTAAACCCTAAACCCTAAACCCTAACTCTCAGCCAGGAGACCGGGTCCGAGGTGTGCTTCAGGAAGATCTGGCGGAGGCAGCTTGCGGTGATGCCGTACCTCGCCAGGGTCTCTAGGCTCGGGGCCTTAGGGGTTAAGATTCAGTTAGGGAACCCTAACCCTGAACCCTAAATCCTAAACCCTAAACCTGAACCTTAAACCCTAAAAAACCCATTAAACGGTTAGGGCTATTTGTGGGGATGTAAGGTACCAGAATTTAAGGCATTTGGGGTTTTGGTTGGGTCTTGGGGGCCTTCAGGGAATTGACCAACCTAAGCCCGTCTAAACACCCAGAGTAGCCTTAGGCAAGTGGTGCTATACTGGCCTGAACCGTAAAAGCTAAACCCTCAGCCCAGAACATGCACAAAGTGAGGGTTTGGGGAAGGGCTGAAATTCTGGTTTGGAGGGCTCAGGGCATGTTTAGGGTGCAGAGTTCAGAGAGGAGCGTGACCACGGAGATTCTTAGCCTTCAATATGTTGCTTATGTGTCCGGGACGGAATCCCAAACCCCTCTGTGACGAGAGAATCCACCCCCCTCATTGCCCCCCTTGTTGCTGAAAAAACGCGCGCAGGAAGGACTAACAAAAATGGATCGGCACAAAACAACATCAGAATCACAATAGTCATGCGAGCCCAACAAACCTTTATCACAGTCTGGCGGTCTCCGTAGTCATACTCAAATAGTCCTCATAGCAACAAAAACAATATAACAGCATGATGCGAAGAAGCCAACAAAAAGGGAGGGGGCCCCAAATAGTAGGAACCCTTATACTGAGGACAACAAGGTACCCCTAACATCGTAAACCCTAAACCCTAAACCCTAAACCCTAAACCCTAAACCCTAAACCCTGCGGTCCAGAGGCACGAGGAAGTCAGGGTTTAGGAAAGGGGGGGGGGGGGGGGGGGAAAGGAGGAGGGGCGCAACGAATGGAGCTCCAGCTTCTGTGCGTCCGAAAGCTCCGTGAGGTGGTTCACGGCAATGGGGAAACGAGGGACCAGGGCCTTGGGTTGTTTTAGGGGGTTTAGGGTTTAGGGTTTCAGGGTCTAGGGTTTAGGCTTAGGGTTTAGGGCCTTGGGTTGTTTTAGGGGGTTTAGGGTTTAGGGTTTCAGGGTCTAGGGTTTAGGCTTAGGGTTTAGGGCCTTGGGTTGTTTTAGGGGGTAGGGGGGTGGGGGTTAGGGTGGGGCGCGGCTTTGGGTTTGGGTTCAGGGCTTTAATCTAAAGCCTGTGGTGTTTTGGGGGGTTTGGGTGGTTTGGGTGTTTTTTACGTGCTTGAGAGGTTTAGGGTTTTGGCGTTTGGAGGCTTTGCGGCTTTCAGGCATGTGCAGTGTTGGGGTGTAAACTCGAAGCCCCATGCCCTAAACCCTAAACCTACTATTTGGGTTTGGGGTTCACGGGGCCCAACAAAACCCAAGTTCCATAGCCGCCGCTGGGGCCCTGCACGAAAAAAGTAGAGACAACCTTGAACGACCAAGTCTTTCAATCTTTCCACGTTAATGCCCAGTAAACCTTAAACCCTATCCTTATGCAGCTTGAACCCCAGTACCAATGACTCTGCAACGCCAACCCTAAATCCAATTATCAAGGAATGCGCAGAGGGATCCTTACTCCTACTTGGAAGTTCATGGTACTTATTAACCAATTAGAACTGTACTTGTAGATGTACTTATAACCATATTGGGGCACTTAAGGGGCTTAAAAGTGGGCTATAAATAGCTACAATTGGTTAATAAGTACCACGAACCTCCAAGTAGTACCATTTCCAGATGCTCTGCACAAACCCCAGATGTCCCTATGTACCTAAGCCTCCCGAAACCCGAAACCCGAAACCCCAAACCCCAAACCCGAAGCCCTAAACCCCAAACCCGAAGCCCTAAACCCGAAACCCGAAACCCTAATCCTAAACCCTAAACCCTAAATCCTAAACCCGAAACCCGAAACCCTAAACCCCTTTGTGGCAGGGAGGCCATCGGCAAAGTCTCTGGGATGCTGGGCTTCGGGACCTCTCTGAGTTGCAAAGGGCTTTGGGCACCTAAACCTCAACCTGAAAGGGGGTTTAGAGGGCTTATTGGGGTTTAGGGTTTAGGGATTAGGGGATCCGAGGGATTTGGGGGGGTTTGGGTTTCGGGGGTTTGGGGTTTTGGGGCTTCATGCTTAGGGTTTAAGGTTGTGGGGTGCAGGGTTTCAGGTTAAGGGGTTATAGGGTTGAGGGGCTTGAGGTTACAGAACATTGAGGGTTTAAGTATGCTCTTGGAATTGAGCACATTCTACCCACTTCAATCCACACTGTCATGCTGTGCACATACAATGCACTTTCACTTAGGATTTAGGGGGGCTGTGTGGGTTCGGGCGTGGAGGCGCTGGGGCTCAGGTGTCACTTCAGACAAGGGGTTTCACCGAAGTGTAATTATGGTTCCTTATGAAACGACTATTCCTGCACCTGGACAAACGCTAAGAAATAAACCCTAAACCCTAAACCCTAACCCCTAAACCCTAAACCCTAAACCCTAAACCCTAAACCCTAAACACTAAACCCTAAACCCTAAACCCTAAACCCTAACCCTAAACCCTAAACCCTAAACCCTAAACCCTAAACCCTAAACCCTAAACCCTAAACCCTAAACCCTAAACCCGAACCTTCCTGACCCGAAGCTTAAGATTCAAGGCTTCTTGGATGCACCTCCCGCAGGAAGGCCCGCTGCACCGTCTCGTCCAGGGTGCGCACCGGGTTGGCGGAGTCCTACCCAGGGAGCCCAATATGGGGGTTTAGGGTTTAGGGTTTAGGGTTTAGGGTTTAGGGTTTAGGGTTTAGGGTTTAGGGTTTAGGGTTTAGGGTTTGGGGTTTGGGGTTTGGGGTTTGGGGTTTAGGGGTTTATATAGGGTTTGGGGTTCAGGGTTTAGGGTTTAGGGCTTAGGGTTTACGATATTTGGGGTACCTTTTTGGGGTCCTTCTTACAAGGGGATCCTAGGGGTCTAGTTTAGGGGTCCCTTATTTCCGTACACCACCATTATTAGGCAGACCTTTAAACGACCTAAAAGGTCCCTGCGGCAGGAATTTCAAGATATTTTTCCCAAGGGGTGGTGTAGTTCCTTTCAGCTGTAAACCCGAACTCCCCCAAAGCCTCACAAAAGGCCAAAGCTTTTTGGGTTTTTCTCAGTGTCGTGTGCGAGCTTAGGGCTTTGAAAGGGCCTTCAAGGTTGAGGGTATAAGGGGCCGAGGGCTTCAACTGAACCACCTTCCGGGTCTTCCCAAGCCCTCACGGTTTTTCGCAGTCCATGAGCACCAGTGGCAGCTGGCAGCCAAGCGCGTGCTCCAGCAAAGCGACCACGCCTCAGCATCTCCGTGATACAGCAGCTTGCATTTTGGGTTTGGGGGGGTTCTTCTGTGTGCCTTGGAAGATTCAATCGGTGCGTACTCCTGGAGCGCAAACAAACTTTGCCAGAAGCCTCCATACATAAACCTCCCCAGAAGCCCGAAACCATGCCCCGAAGCAAAAACTTCTGAAGAAGCATGGACCACAAGCTCCGCAACCCGAATGGCCTGGGACACCGAAAATCCGAGCCCAGGTCCCAAGACCGGTCTTGTTGACACTATCAAGCCCTGAACCCTTACTAACCCTGATCCCGAAGCCCCAAAACTCCTAAGCCCCCTGCAACCCTGAAATCCTGAAACCTTGAGCCATAAGCCCTAAACCCCTGAGCCATGAATTGAACCACCATCATGAATATCCGGGCCGCCCAGGGCGTGCAACACGTGGTCCACGTCCACCGAGCGGACGAATACCGCCACCAGTCCGTCAGTCCCTCGGCAGGGCCTCGCAAAAGCTCTCTCATGTGTTTGGGGGCTGACCTGATGGCTGCCCAGATGCCTACTATGTTTAGGTGGCTTGCGCCTCTTTGGGGTGGCAGAACCTACTCCTATGATCAGTGTTTCGGAACGCTGTTCAGGTTTAAGCTGTGGGGGTGGGGGAGAGACACTGAGCTGCCAGCCAGTTGATCTCGTTGAAGGCGAGGTTCGCGCCGATAGGAATCTGCGTGGCACAGCGTATCGCGCATGATTTCAGGACCCTCCCCCGTCCAACCCGAGATCCCTCAAAGCCAATCAAACCCGCAGCCTGAATACCCTGCGGAAGCCTGCCATCGGCAGGCCTCATCTCACATTGTTTAACAGATTCCTCCCGACAAATGCACCCTATCCTTGAGTCAGCCGATGCATTGGATAGAATTCGGGATGGCACCGAGCTTGCAAAACATCCGGGGCCCCACAACCCCGACCAACAGCCCGAGCACGACGGCCTAGGCCTCACGCTTAACTGCTGAGCCACGTAAACCCCCTAAACCCTAAACCCGAAACCCTAAACCCGAAACCCTAAACCCGAAACCCTTAACCCGCAACCCTAAACCCTAAACCCTAAGCCCTAAACCCCTAAGCCCGTAAAGACCTGCCTCCTGCAGTTCCCCGGTGTCTGCATTCGTGGTGAGCCGGTGGGAGTTGCACTCCTCAGGCTGACCCGTGGGGGAAGTCCGAGCACTTAGTGTGCCATCGGAGGGGCGCTCCAAGGCTTCAGGGTTGAGGATTTTAGGGTTTAAGAATTAGGGTTTAGGATTTAAGGTTTTTGAGTTGGGGTTTAGGATTTCGGGTTTAAGAATTAGGGTTTAGGATTTTCGGGTTTCGTGCTCAAAGAGAAAGAAATTCCACCCAGCCACCATCAAGCGCTCAATCGTGACGAGCGCCGAGGACCGTCCGTTGAGAAGTTCACCCTGGCATCCAATCTTTGTGAGGGTGTAGGGTTAGGGGCGGTTAGGGTGTAAGGGAGGGCTTAGGGCTTCCATCATTCGGTGGCGGGGGTTGCGCACTTTTTTGCATGACGTCGGGAGTGCACAGTGTCGGCGCACACCTATGCGACGCCTTCTCGCAAGTAACTTTGCACGCCTTTGCAGGTTCTCATGCATGTAAATGAGGGAGAGAAGGAGAGAGAGAGAGGGAGAGAGGGAGAGAGGGAGAGAGGGGAGAGAGGGGGGGAGCGAGGGAGAGAGAGGGAGAGAGGAGGAGGGAGAGAGGGAGAGAGGGGATGAGAGGGGAGAGAGGGGAGAGAGGGGGAGAGAGGGGAGAGAGGGGAGAGAGGGAGAGAGAGGGGAGAGAGAGGGGGGAGAGGGAGGAGGGGAGAGAGGGAGAGAGAGGGGAGAGAGGGGAGAGAGGGGGAGAGGGGAGAGAGGGGAGAGAGAGGGAGGTGAGGGGAGAGAGGGAGAGAGGGGAGAGAGGGAGAGAGGGGAGAGAGGAGAGGGAGGAGGGGAGAGAGGGGGAGGGAGAGAGGGGAGAGAGAGGGGAGAGAGAGAGAGAGAGGGGAGAGAGGGAGAGACGAGAGAGGAGAGAGAGAGGGAGAGAGGGAGAGAGGGCGAGAGGGGAGAGAGGAGGCGAGGAGAGAGGGAGAGAGGGAGGAGGGAGAGAGGGAGAGAGAGAGAGGGAGAGAGGGAGGAGAGAGGGAGAGAGGGAAGAGGGAGAGGGGGGAGGGGGAGAGGGGCGGGGAGGGGGAGGGAGGGGGAGAGGGGGAGAGGGGGAGAGGGGGAGAGGGGTGAGAGGGGGAGAGGGAGAGGGGGAGAGGGGGGAGAGGGGGAGAGGGGGAGAGGGGGAGGGGAGAGGGGGAGAGGTGGAGAGGTGGGGGAGGGGGGGAGGAATGGCTCTTGGATAGTGCAAAACGTTAAAACATCTCATCCCTTTGTGCGGCCAGGAACTCCACTGAACGTGCTGTTCACTCTGCCTGCCCCCCCGACATGAGCCGACTTAGCAGAACCCTACAACAGAGACCTAGCCCGCAAAGATGGCCAAGCAGATAAACCGCCCAATAGCTGTTGTAGGAATGATTCCCCTATGCTTGAGGCATCACTCATCCGACCGAGAACAACGCCGAAGAACGTCCATTCATGTCAAAAAACTACCAAAGGTCGACGTGAAGCTCGCTTCAACTAACATATCTCTTGCACACGACATGTGTGCTCTGTATCCTCATCACAGCCAGAGAAAGGATGACGTTCAAGCGTCGGCATCTTATGCTTGTAATCACATGAAAACGTTGTTGGCAACCCTTAACCTTCACATCCTACGTTCGAAGCGTCGTACCGCAAACCCCAAGCCCAAGCCCCAACACGTACTCAAGGATTGCCCTCCCAGACCTTGTGGTTCATGTTGAACTCCGTCTTTGCCATGTAGCCGCTGGGCCAGATGAACCTGAGACCGAGATCGGCCTCCTAATGCAGTGATGTTCCTATCTTCTTTACACCTTCGGGTGCAGAGTTTAGGATACGAAAACCGAAACCCCTGCGCCGCAAATCGCAGGGCCGGACGAATACAGGTTCTTGGCGTCTGAGGAGTTTAATGCTCCCTGAGGCCGAAGCAATAAATGATGAAATCGAGTCCCTATTATGAGACAGCCTCACTAAACTCTTCTAACCCCAGTGAAAATTGAACGGCGTTATGTGAGCTTTAGGCTTCGGAACACGACCATTGACGCCAGCAATCCTGGCCAGCGACCCATCGTGTCATCATGAGCATCAGGCGGACTCGTGCAGCGCAGGCTAAGCCGTCGTCATGGGCATCTACCGAGCCAACCCTCCCCAAGAGACCGAAGGCAAGCTTGCAACTAACCCTGAACTCCAAGCCCTAACCTTTGAAAGACACAATTCAGGTGCAAGGTAAGGGACGCTTCAGACAAGTCCAGCTCGGATCGGTCCCAGACGAGCCCGCAGCAGCTGGTGCCTTTGGGGGGGGGAAGGGGTTGTGGGTTTCGGGTTTACGGCCTGTGGCTGCTCGTGGGCTCTTTAAGCTGCATGGAGTTCGAAAGAGGCATCTGCAAAGGATGAAACGGTACAATGCTTCCAGACCTTGACGAGCACTGTCGAGTGAACACTACACCAAACAGCATGGTTGGCGAGAGTGCACAACCCTAGACTCGAAAACGAGAGGCCAGAGTCTAGAGAGCTTCACGGTTGCGGAACAGTGTGGGTCCTTCGCCTATGCGGCGGGTGGACATGACCAATGAGCGGGCAAGAGATTTGCAAGGATGTCTTCACCATCGTCCCGGAGGCGGATGCGTTGGTTGAGGATAGAGTTGAGGGGCGGGCGGGGCGGCCGGTCTAAGCCCCAAACCCGAAACTGACACATGAGGCTCCGGACACCTAAGCCGGTGGCATGCACCCGCATCAAGCCTGGATGTTTGCTGCTACCTTAACCCGAGCCGAGTTGCACTTCTCTCCAAACAGCCGCATACCGACGCCTGCGGGCAGCACAGCTCCCTCCCTTAAGAACCTTCGGCAGCCTTTCAGCGATGTACCGTAGGAGGGTGATTCTTACCTGCATTCGGAACCGTCTTCCACTGCGCCTTCAAAATCATACACTCATAGTGCCAGCCAAGAACATCCGACAACTGTAGTTGCCACATCCATTTGCAGCCCAATAAACCCCCAAATCCCTGCAAATCAGAGCATTGCACGAAACCCCCTCGGCAACCCTCCCAAACCCCCACCCCACAACAAACATCCTGCCGGCGGCGCCCGAGCCTGTGGGCCCTCTGCCCTGTGCCCCTGCCACCCCTGAACTCGGAAGTCACCTGAGCCCTCAACCCCTGAAGACACCCATTTAAAGAAGCCCCGCGTGACCATAAAAACCCCATGTGGGGGTGTACGACGGTGTACAATGCCTGATTACGGCCCAGGCCCCAAACCCCAAACTCCAAACCCCAAACCCCAAACCCCAAAACCCAAACCCCAAACCCCAAACCCCAAACCCCAAACCCCAAAACCCTACCCATCTAAAGAAGCCCCCGAGTGGCCTCCGGGCGGCGGCAGGGACGCCGAGGTCCGGAAGTTGCCGGTGCGGAGTTTGGAGATGAGCTCCAGCCTTGCTAGCCAGGGTTTAGGGCTTAGGGCTTCGGGTTTGGGGTTTAGGGTTTAGGGTTTAGGGTTTAGGGTTTAGGGTTTAGGGTTTGGGGTTTGGGGTTTGGGGTTTGGGGTTTAAGGGTTTTTGATTTGCAGTTCTCAGGGTTTGTAGGTGTTTCGGGTTCAGGACCTCCAATCTTCGGTCGGGTGGCCAATCTGTGTTCCGCACAGTCTTGACCATGGCACGCTGCTCATCAAAGAGGTCCTTAGCGGCTTTAGCGTTCAGGGCTCAGGGTTTAAGGTTTAGGGCTTAGGGTTTAGGGTTTAGGGTTTAAGGTTTAGGGTTTAGGGTTCAGGGTTTAGGGTTTAGGGACACCGATTCGATTACCAAGGGGTCTGCCGGAGCAAGGCAGGCGTTCTAAACCAGGACAGCCCACCCCTACCGACCGTCAATGGGCAACACGCCGTGTTGGAGCAGCACTGCCATGGACCCAACATATGTTCAGGGTTTAGGGTTCAGAGTTTAGGGTTTATGGTTTAGGGTTTAGGGTTTTAAGGTTTAGTGTGTAAGGTTTAAGATTTAGGGTTTAGGGTTTAGGGTTACCTGATTGGCCAAAGGTCACGAAACTTGTCGCCGGCACTCTCCTGTGCAATGATGTCGAGCTGCCTCCGTCGTGGGTTGAGTGCTGTGGGTTGGCCGCGGGTCGAGTGCATTCGAAACTGACAGAGGAACACGTGGGGATGAATCTCCGTTCACATGGCGAAATTCAAAACTCCAGGAAGCTGAAACCCCTGAAATCCCTGAAACCCCTGAAACCCCTGAAACCCCTTTTTCCCTGAAACCCCTCAAACCCCTCAAAAGCCCCTCAAAAACCCCTCAAAAAACCCCTCAAAAACCCCTCAAAACCCCTGAAATCCCCCTAAAGACACATCTGTGGCCCAGGTGCTCATTGGCTGCAGGCGTCGTGAGTGCTGGGACAGATGTGACAAGCATCGCCATGATGCCCACGGTGCTGTGGCACGGTGTGGCAAACCCAATGGTTCCTACTCAAAGCGGATGTGACCCACATGATACCACGTTCATACGCTGTCAAAGATATCGTTACAGAAGCATTTGTCTTTACCGTATGTGGCCCAAGCTGACCTGGGTGCATGTCAAAATGTGCTTTACATGGGCGGAACACGAAAAGCTAGCTAGTCCAAGTGCGGCGAGCCAACGATGAACAAGCAAGCGAGGCAAACCTGTTCTGCAACGTATGCGAACAGCAATGGTGACCACCGATGGCTCTGGTGAGTCTGCGCACTGCGATATTGCGTTGGCGGAATCACAGACTTGCTAAAGCTTAGGTCGAGAAGTATGAACCTCGCACAGGTTTTGCTGGTCGCGGGGAAGGCGGGGAATGCGAGGCAGCCATGCGATGGGATATGCGACGGGTATGGCACTGGCCCCTTTTGTTTTGCATAATCCCCGACCCCCAGTACCCAAACAACCAAAACTTTGGACAAGAAGAGTGAAGAAGCTACTTACTGCAAACCTCCAGCTTTGTTTCACACATCAACACCCATGGACTCACGAGCTTTTCACGCATGACGGCTGCAGGCCAAAACAAGTCCCCGAAAAGTCCCGACCAACAACCGATACCCTAAGTTGATCGTTCCAAACCTACATTACCCACCAAATCCCCTTCGAACCGGCCCTAGAAGAACCCAAACCTACATTGCTTGGTTTAAAATAAAAAAACCGCAGGAGGTTTCGAAAAGCAGCTCTGTGAAGCGAACTGAGGTCGCACACTGCATCCATGGCTGTTGGATCTAGGCTGGCGCACCAACTCCGAGCTCCAGGACTCACATTTCCGGGCTAACCCTTCTGCCCTTCCACCTCCTTGGACCCTTCAACCCACAGACATGAAGGATGGCAGATACGGCGCTGCTTGTTATGCTAGAGGCGACCTGACAAGACAAACAATTCACCCCAGTCGTGGTAGCCGCCACGTAACTTCGTCGCAAGTCAAAAGCAAAGTGACGGCCCGGTTCGCGCAAGGATGGGCCGCGCTCGACCTGAATATTGTTTAAGTACGTATCTAACTTGAACTCGCTGATAACGATGGTGAAGAAGAACATGATGATAATGATGATGATGACGACGACGATGATTATGATGATGACGACGACGATGATGATGATGGCTATTTGATGCCAGTCAATACTACTCCGATCCTTGGATCCCTCCAACCCAACCATTGACGAATGAACATGAGCTACACTGGCCCACCCCTTCAAAAAAGCAAGAACTCAGAAACATGTTTGTTTCGGCGCGATCGACGCCACTTGGGTTTCGAAGCAGCGGCTCATCCAGATCACAAGCCTGATGCAGCTGGTGGCTTCTAAACCAATCAAGTTAAGGCGCCAATCGAAGCGTTTGCAGATTCAGGCGCCGTGACTTTATTTGCAAGCCTAAAGCAATCTCAGACATCGCCTCTTTACAAGGGCTTATAAGGGTTTGTGGGGTCATGGGGCTTAGAGGCTTGAGGGGTTTGTAGGGCTTCTGGGGTTTTATACGACCATAGAGGCTTAGCGATACGGGATTATGAATTCGACGTAGGGGGGGAGGTGGGGGTTGCGGGGCCCTGTACAAGAGTCTTGCAAAGCCGCCCTTCAACACTCTTGTCAAGCCCTTAGTAAACCCTAAAGCCAAAGACCTGTTGAAACTCATCACTGAAGCCTGAATCTTCAAACTCCTGAATCACTGAAGCTCTCGGCCAAAAGGTGAGATGCGGGTAAATCAGGAGTGATAGGTGAACAGAAAGTGTTCCACAGTGTTCGGCGCACGCGTTCCGTTGGGCGAGTCACAATGCTTGATGGTTGCCCTAGATATTGTGAAGTCGCCGGGGAAGCACATTCACAACATGTTACCGGCGAATGTATACATCCCCCGAGCCCCCACAGCCCCAACGCACCCCAACACCCCCCACCCCCGTCCGCCCAGAAAGTTCAGCGGCGTGCTGGAGTGACAAGAAACACCTGCCCGTATTAATTTACTGCGTTCACTCTGTTCTCTTCGTCTTGTAAGCGTATTATTTTTATTATTAGTATTAAAGGGGGCACTATAAGAAAGATAGAGCCCCCGTAATAATATACTGAGTGAATACATGAACTTTATGCTTTAACTTCACGAATCATCCTAACTTTTGGTTGTTTCGTTCACAATGTTCTTTGTGCCGTGCTTTCGTTCTTTTCATTCACTACATTACGCACTTCATCACATTACTCTCTTCACCTTTAGTATTAAGTGGTCTAGCTCTTGGAGATGAAGATAGAAAGCGTGACATGAATTCCTAGACTCGCGGGTTACGTCCTAGTGCATGATTCCTTGATTTGTGGGGTCTTTTAGGCTGTCAAGAGAACCCCAAAGCACCAGAAATCTAATACTAAAATCACGAGCCAACAAGCGAGTGAACGAAACCCCCACTTCGTTCTCGCATTCATTTCGTTCTCTCTCTTCATTCGTTCTCTCATTCATTTGTTCACTTCGTATTATATTGTGAGAATGAAGAACAAAGGGCCCAATAAGAACATTTTAATAGGCCCTTTCACTTCGTTCACTTGTTCATTGAAATCACGCACTTACTTCGTTCGTTTGTATTTCAATTCACTTCGTTCTCTACGTACAACCTCTATTCTAATGTCAATCACACGCTCGCTTCATGCATGTCATGCGTCACGCGTTCAATGATTCACGCACTCATTACGCTCTTTCATTCGCTTCTTTCGTTTGTAAATTAGTTCATTGCATTCTCTTCGTACACTCCTTTCTCCCTGGCACCCTGGAGATGTTGGAGGCATGTGCACCACTATGGATGCGGCCAGAAGCCACTTTGCATGGGTGCACGACGCTGCCCAGGCCGGGGCAGGTCGCGTAGCGTCAAAGTTGATTGTACATTGTGTTTAGTATTTTTACTAGCACAGTCCAGGAGTGCTTGGAGGGTGCACGAGCCTCGTGCCCCCGCAGCTGAAATACTGGGATACCCCAGAAGTCCAGTTGGGGGTTCTCAATGGGGGTGGAGGAGCGACACATTGCGTCTCTTATTTCAAGCATGTCATCGAGATGTATCGCGCGCAGTGGACCTCACCAAGGTACATCTGTCCATAATGGTTATAGACAGATGAAACACTGCTTTCATCGTCTGGTGGCAGGGGTTCGTACTTCTGTTGGCTATCGCCACTGGCAGATAGAAGGGACACACGGTTTCTCCATAAACGGCAATTCTTGGGGCCAAAGAGTGGGGGGCTAGGCGGCTTCTAGGGGCTTGTGAGTAGTTGTAGTCAGCAATAGGGAAATTAAATACAATGGGAATCGATGGTACAAGCAACAGACATAATCATGGCAGTAGGTCAGCAGAAATTGCAATCGAGCAGCAAGGTGATCATAATCGTCGTCGAAGAGTAGATAACATTCTGCTGGGAGCAGGAATAACAAGTTGAGTAGCGCAGTACCCCGAACCCAAACCGGCCTGGCCAGTTCCGAAAGAAGGTTTCGAGCGCCCTTGCACAAGTGACGTGGGCTTAGGGGGCTCTAGGTCAAGCTTTAGGCTTTGGGGGCTCAAGGGCATGAGTTTTACACAGCCTTTTGCGGGGGAGGGTTTGGGGCCTAGGAGGTTTGCGGGCTGTCGGGGGTGCCCCTGGGAATCTGCAATTAAGTCAAGTCTTCCGGGCGTCGTGACACATATATCGCGCGGCACGCCTGTAAAACCAATTGCCGGGCCTCTCTGTGGGGGGGGGCGGGGGGTGTGCAGCTTAAATAGGGTTTATTTGGAAGCTGGCACTCGTGTTCACAAGAGGAAAAAAGGCCCCAAAACGTATACTTATTTACAAGAGCCAACTTCCAAATAGACCCTATTTTAGGTCCTAGGGGGGGTCCCAGGCCTGAATTAAATATGAAGGCCCCGATTTAAATATGAATATTTAATTCTGGAGCTTCATATTTAAATTATTTAATTCGGGCCCGGGAATTAAATAATTTAAATAAGTTAAATAATTTAAATAATTTAAATAATGTAAATAACTTAAATAATTTAAATAATTTAAATAATTTAAATAATTTAAATCCTGGAGGGGGGGGGGGGGCGGGCCTCCTCCCGCAGGAGGAATTAAATAATTTAAATATGAAGGCCCCGAATTAAATATTAATATTTAATTCGGAGCCTTCATATTTAAATTGTTTAATTCTTCCTGCGGGAGGCCCCCTCCAGGATTTAAATTATTTAAATTATTTAAATTATTAAAATTATTTAATTCCCGGGCCCGATTTAAATAATTTAAATATGAAGGCCACGATTTAAATATGAATATTTAATTCGGGAGCTTCATATTTAAATTATTTAAATCGGGCCCGGGAATAAAATAATTTAAATAATTTATCCTGGAGGGGGGGGGGGGCGGGCCTCCTCCCGCAGGAAGAATTAAATAATTTAAATATGAAGGCCCCGAATTAAATATTAATATTTAATTCGGGGCCTTCATATTTAAATTTTTTAATTCCTCCTGCGGGAGGAGGCCCGGCCCCCCCCCCTCCAGGATTTAAAATATTTAAATTATTTAAATTATTTAAATTATGTAAAGTATTTAAATTATTTAAATTATTTAAACTATTTAATTCCCGGGCCCGATTTAAATAATTTAAATATGAAGGCCACGATTTAAATATGAATATTTAATTCGGGAGCTTCATATTTAAATTATGTAAATCGGGCCCGGGAATTAAATAATTTCAATAATTTAAATAATTTAAATCCTGGAGGGGGGGGGCCGGTCTTCCTCCCGCAGGAGGAATTAAACAATTTAAATATGAAGGCCCCGAATTAAATATTCATATTTAAATCGGGGCCTTCATATTTAATTTATTTAATTCCTCCTGCGGGAGGGCCCC